CAAAATGAATGCTCCTGAGCTAAATTTCAACTGTCCCAGATAATATGAATACTTATGCAATGGAATAATTTTAGTTTTTTATTTTAAATAAATTTGCAAAGATGTTAAAAACCTATTTTTTGCTTTGTAATTGTGGTGTATGGAGTGTAGATTGATGTGGGGAAAAAAAGTAATTTAAAGCAGTTTAACATAAGGCAGCAACATAACAAAATGTGAAAAAATTATATACACAATATATACACACACACACACACGCATATATATATATATATATATATATATGTATATATATGCTAGTGAAAAATAAATATACTCAAATGTATTTGAAGTACATTTATTTTATGCCAAGTACAAATACATGTAAATATGATGTAATTAATAAAAATACCCTGCAATTGTACTTTTTGTATACTAAACTTGTATATTTAAAGTCTGCTAAATTAGAACAACTAATTTTGTGCTTAATGCACTTAAATTGTGCAAAAGTAGTGCTGAAGTTTCAACTAAAGATATACTGAAGTATATTTGATTGTGCTAAAGTGGTACTATTGCAGGTATACTTGAAATATCTTGCATTTAAAGACCAATATTATTTAAAGATCATACAATCCTCATCAATAGTGACATTAAACACAGTTTAGGTTTAAAAATATAATATAATACAAAACATATTTGACAAATGTTAAATACGCAATTAAAATCAATCGAGTGACAAATGATTCTGTAAAAATGAAAGATCTTAAATGTGTCAATGTCAGCATGAGTAAAACCACAAATGAAGCATGAATAAGTATGCTTCCTGTGCTATATTTGAATCTATTTAACATTGCTGTCTGTGATTTGCTCTGGTCCAGCTCTTCCTCGAGGTCGATATGGCATTGTGCCTGAAGGCGTTCTGGCTTAGTTCTGCTCCGCAATTGTTAACTCCTCTTGAGCTGCGTGTGATTAACAATTTGCTTAAACAGACCCCCACCCTTGATGCACCAATTTCAGGAGGCAGACCTTCACTTCCTCATCTCCCTGGAAGAGTCAACCATTCTAAATCATTAGCTTGCAGTGGCCTGGGGTCTGATTCTCACACACACACACACACACACACACACACACGATTAGTATTAAGATTGTGTCAGTGTATGCAGCCTTAAGCAGGTGGGTGTTTGGAGTGCTCAAAGGAGGAGGCTGTCAAAATGTATCCCACCTTGATCAGTACCGTATGGTACAGCTTCCCTCCTGCGCTGCCACCCTACTCACACAAACCTTAGGGGCCTGAGCACTGCTCCACATGCACTGCACATGTTCCACCATTCAGAGGAGGTCTGAGTTTTCAGGAGGTGGCCAAGCTCCCACACAGACCCTTGTCTGTACTCATGCCATGATGGGATGTCTGAGCGCTTCATCAAGCTATGATGCTAGTGGCATTTATCTACTTTCTCAAGTCCAATTTCCTGAGACTGAAAGAAAGCGTGTTGTTTATGAGCTCCAAGTAAACGAGTACTCTTTGCTGTAGCCTGTGTTTGAGGTTTGAGGCATGTCAATACAGTTCTTTTATGACAGTGCTGACTCCCAGTCTGGTCCATAGGCTATGGCACACCCAACACCCATGTCTGAATAAAATGTGTTTGCAAATGGGGTGGGGGGTTTCCGAGTGTGGCTACAATATTTCTGACACATTTTAATAGTAGAATTTAGCATGTCAAATAATATACAAGGCTTTCCCACCAAATGAATTTCCATGAACTTTCCAGTGGATTGTGATTACAGGATAATGGTTTTTATTATTATTTTATTTTAAAATCAGACAGATTTGCTAATGAATCGGTTTCAATGAAAGATAAAAAAAACTCTTGAGTGTGAATTTAAATGATGGAACGTTAAAATTCAATTAAACTTAACACAGGTAATGGGAAATGAAGTGCTCTTCTACATTTCTACACGTTACATTTATTAAATATGTTGAAATTGAATGCTTCCATTGTCCTCATTTGTAAGTCACTTTGGATAAAAGTGTCTGCTAAATGACTAAATGTAAATGTAAACGAAAATGTATAAACTAATACATTTCTATAGGTGGCATCTTAAAAATTATCTGTTAGTATTAAAGTTTTATAAAGCATTGAAAATTTTGAAGAATTTCAATTCATTTGAATTCTACTTAAAGTGCCCCTATTATGGGTAATGAAAGGTTCATATTTTGGTTTTGGGAGTCCCCAACAACAGGATGACATGCATGCAAGGTCAAAAACACTTTCATTGTCTTATAATATGCATTTATCCCCAACGACTCCCAAACGATTCGCGCAACGATTCATTTTTCCAAACCCCTACTTTGCCTGACGCTAATCTGCAGTGATTGGTCCGATTGGTCTCATTTTCATTTCATCATGCCTGTAATGGCAGTGCTGCTTTGTGTACAGCGTTACCAGGGAAACCGCTATTTTACCGCTCCAAAAGCGGCACCTAGTGGTAAAGAATGAATTTGCATTTTCATTCAGACCAAGGGGAAAAGACCAACAAGTGGGCAGGCAATATGCTAATGTTTCACCTTGAAGTCAACATGAAACGGCTTGAGATTCGTTTTAAAAACGACTCGTTTCAATGATTCAGAGTCGACTCTTTCTTTTGAGAGACAATAACTTTATACACGGTGCACTTTCAGATTTAAAACTTTGCAGTTTGTTTTCATTCACTTAGAGCTGTGTTACACACTGCATGAAAGGTAATTAAAAAAAAATCCATAATAGGGGCACTTTAAATTCAAATAGCAATTCTGCATCCAGTTGCTACATCAATTTAAATTAAACTCAAATTCAGGAATTGAACTGAATTTAAAAAGGCATTCTTGATTTAATTCTGAATGGCAAACAATCCTGATCACTATAGATTGAGCAACTGTTACTGTACATGCGAGTTATATCTAGTAAAATAAAATAAAATAAAAGCATCCCCGCAACACATAACAAGTGGTCTGGAAAATGTAAGCAATGACGCAAAATACAACTTCTGTTTAGTGACCTTTGTTATTCATACTGGCAGTTTTTAAATCAACTTACACAAACAGCATTATTTTGAGAACTTATTACTGTTTAAATCAATTTCATGTTAGGCACTGGATAACAAGTTTTTAAACACAGCTTTGTCCAGGTTTAGACAAAATACGCACCATAAGCTCTCCCCACCCACTGGATTAGTCAAGCTACCTTTGACCTATGGTGATATTTATGGTAATTACAGACTAATTGAGGAAACACGTGTCTAAGGCTTCCTGTGACCCCTATTAACATAAGGTTGACTAAAGGCATTGCCTGACATTTTGGTTCAATAAAACCGCAGTTGAACAGTTATTCTCGAAGAGTTACCAACTCAAGTAACTTCATAATAACTTAACGTAAACAATGTTATGAAAATACTAAAATTCAACAAGCATGTTGCTTACCCCTTTACCCATGAGGCCATTGTTCTGTGGAAGGCCAATAAACTGGAAGGCAGCCTCTTGTATGAAGTAGGGGTTCAGGATTCGTATCTCTGAGGGTTGCCGGGGCACAGAGTGCGCTACAGACTTCCAGAAGCCCTCTGTTCCTTGCTAAAGAAAGAAAGAAAAAATCATTAGAGGGAGGCATTATGATATGGACAAATGGACTCCGCACATCCAAGTTTGCATCATGAAAAACGCATGGAAAATTTTTATATCATCTTACAGCAGATGTGAAGAAATCATCTCTTCCATAATCATGAGTTCAGACCCAATACCTATAATGTGCCATCACTGCATACTGATGGCAGCAGTGTAGACGGCTTTCATTAAAAGTGAAGCAGGCCGTCCAGGTTGGACAAGCCAAAAGGAAGTGGACAAATGAAATCCTGACCTCCACGAGCGTTCGGGGAGCAGCGGCCCCCAGCTTCTCCCATAACAATTACTCCGGAGACCTACAGAGTGCCATAGCTCAGCAATTATTCAATCTGCGACCTGGCACTGAGATCATCAGGTATTAGCGTCCCGACTAGACAAGCTCTGCGAAGCCGTGGCAGCACTGCTGGCAAACAGCCAGTCGGGTCATCGGACTTAATGGGAGTCACCTGTTCAAATAAGCAGACTGTGCCTTTGATATAGCCCAACAATAGGAGTGACTATTGAGCCAGGCAAACGGCTTTGAAGCAGTTTTGGAGGGCCCCCCCGCCCACAACAAGCCATGGCAAGAAAACATCATCTCTTCTGTCAACTGTAGGGTTTTGCAGAACAGAAGCAGAAATTCTGTGGAATGCTGCAACCACAAGCAGGTGTAAACAGGGAAAAACTTGACGACAACAACAATAAAAATCACAGATTCTGGCGCACATTTACCCAACCACAGAGACACAGTATCCAGCATAGTGTGAAGTATATACTGGATGTTGCCAAACTGAAGTATGCCTTTTTCCAGAGCATAACATGATTTAAAACAGAGTGCGAGTAAACACATGGGAAACGCGCTGGCATCCGAAGCCAGTAGTGTTTGGTATAAAAGTGATAGGTTGTTTGAAAAAGAAATAAAACAGGAAGTCCCTGATTGATTCTTTTAAAATCACTTAACACAAGTAAGGATGTGTCTGTAAGCTGTAAACATTCCTTCCAGTGCATCGGGCTGAGATGGTAAGATCATTTAGGTCTCGAAGGACAGGTTTAATATTGTACAGGAGTTACTCTAGTGACTTACATAACAGAGTTATGAAAAAAAAAAAAAACGAGAACATTCCTGGCTAGACTGTAAATAATGGCATTAAAATTCAATCTTTCATCTCAGATCATTGAGTGTCTACAGAAGCTTAGGTTCAGCTTACTCCAAATCCTTTCAAACAACACTGAATTTTGTATTGATTTGTTTGTCTATTCATTCATTATTCATATATTCATGAGGTATTAAGCACTAAAGGCTGCCAGTACTAATAGTCTCGCACAGGCGTATTGAGGACTGTGGCTTTTATAAGCAGTTATTAAACGTCCCAGGCAAACACTCTTGTGTTCAGTGGGACAATAAAACGCTAAATGTTTACTGGACATACAGTGGCTTGAAGATCAACGGTTAGCCGATTAAACGACTGCTGCTGTCAATGCTAAATTTCGAATAAATCTTCTTCTAAATGCATTTCACAAGATTTTAAATTTTTTTACATGTTTTTAGGCAAGCATTTTTTTTCTATTTTTCTTTTATGCATTTCTTATTATTGCTACACTCTAAAAA